CCGTCTTTGATGGTACGGTACGGTAGGGATAGGTACGGGAGAGGTACGATCGAGGGTAATACGACACCGTCTCCCGTACCGTACCGTACCATCAAACACAGCTGGCCACATACAGCTGCCCGCAATATTCAAATAGGGCTTTCAAACGCAAGATAATAACGTGAAGCAACTTGGAAGAATGGGTATGAATGCGAAGTGTATGGGGGAATGCATGCAGGGCGATAGTGCGGGTTCGAATCCCAGGATACGGTATGCCTGAAAAAATAGGAGAATTGAAAAATTTATAACATCCCTATGATTTTTTGCCGTCAGATACGGGATAGCGCCAGGCGTGACACAAACAAACAAACACACAAACAAACACCAAATTAAAGCTGTGTGGACCCTGGCTAGCGCCAGACGTTACTGAAGTAACGTCTTCTGCATAGCTACGGGAATTAAAGCTATGTGGACCCTGGCTAGCGCTAGACATAAGTGAAGTAACGTCTTTAGCCTAGCTATGGGAATAATGCTTCAAGTTTAGGTCGGTGTGTTTGAACGTCTTTAAGACTTGAAATCTGGACCTTCCATGTACATGATTGTACTATCGCGGCATCACAATAATAATAATTTCAAATGGTCACCACCAGCCAATTAGGACATGTGTCAAAGTATTGAACGTTTTCGTTCCCTTCTTCTCAAAATACTACAGGGAATGATGGAATTACCTTAGAGACTACAACTATAAAGAAAAGAAGTTCAGAGATTCATCACCCCAATTACGTGTAGAAGTGACACACAAAAAATAGATGTGAAGAGTCAAGAAAACAGTATGGAAATCAAATAAGTGACAAAACGTAGTGACAAGAAAAAGAGAGAGAATATCAAGAGATCATGAGATTTTTTCGCACGATGAACAGTGCCTAACAACTGCAAAGGCAACACATTCTCCTTCTGAACACAAAGCTCAGGGTCTAACTTACGTATGTACAAAGCTTTCAACACGGCAAGATGTAACAAAGACCTACCACGCGACCAAACAGAGAATACATCATCGGAATACCACTCACGACAACTAGCACTGCCCGACAGGTGACACTTGATTGCCAATGTCTTGTTTCCCAGGCCCGACAACTTCGTCGTTGTCACCTCCGATCCTGCCGCTTGCCAGTCTCTCCCATTACGCCCTGCATCCCTGCAATTCCGATTGCCTGGGTCAACATCAGTGTGCTGCTCCACGTCCAGTCTGTCCTGCTTCCGTGGTCTACCTCGTTTCTTCACATTAACCGTTGTCACTTCCAGTATTGGTTCTTTTGACTCCTCATCAATTCATCTCCTCAACTGGCTTCTGGTGACCCGTCCGGGGCTCGATTGTTCAGATGTCAGTTTCGGTGGTTTCCGTATCGGTCTCTTCTTCTTGTTGACTGTTGTTCGGGTTGGCTCCAGCCCTGCGCCCGACAAAGAGGAGGAGGGGTCGGCAAGCGTATTCAAAGCAGAGTTGGACGAGTCCACCTCAGACACAGGCTGCACTGGACACTTCGGCAGACGACCACGCCGAGGGCGAGAACCACGTGCAGCTACAAGGACAAGATTCAACGGTACACGTTGACGAATCCGTGCGCCCAGGTGCTGAAAGGTTCTACCTATGTACAAATTTTCACAATTTCGGCACTGAAAGAAATATAATTTTGCTTAGGGTAGGTAGAACGTCCTTCTTCACGCTGAATGCACGGGTCGTCCCAAAGATGACATACAAGTTGACACACGGATGAGAGGAGCAAACAGTATTCCGCACCTCCTTCTCCATGCGCGAAGAACTGGCACCAACCCACGGCAAACGTAGTACCACAGGGCATCTCTCCGGTCCAAAAGTAATCGTCTTTTCCAAGGTCGGTTTCTGGTTGATGAGTTTCATTAAAAGTGTCTTTGGATAGCCATTCTTTGTCATTATCGTTAAGAGTCGTTCTAGTTCCTCGTCCAACAGATGAGGGGAACATATCCTATGTGCACGGTAGACAAGGGCCTTGACGAGGTGTGTTTTGGACTTGGTTGGAGTAAAACTTGACATTGGGATATACAAGCCTGTGAAAGTTGGCTTTCTATAAATGGTCGTGTCCATGTTGTGCGTATTCATGTTACGAGAAATCCTACCATCCAGGAAAAAAAGGGTACCATTATTTTCACCATCTGATGTGAATTTTAATGCTGGATGTAAGGAGTTGAGAGTTTCCATAAACCTATCCCAGGTTTCTTTATCGTCGTCGTGACAATGCACATCGTCAACAAAACGACAGTACATTGATGGCCAAAGTGAAGGGTCGATAGACGACTCGCAGAAGCCAAAAAATATATTCGCCAAGACTGGTCCCAAAGGCGGTCCCATGGCGACTCCATCAGTCTGTTTGTACATTATAATATTGTCGAATGAAAACTCCACACCAGACGTGACCATCAACATAAGTTTCACGAACTCCGTTTCATTCAAATTTAAAAATACGGACTGGTGAGGACGCACGTACAACGACAACAGAAGTGACAACAACAGTCAATATTTGAAAACGTGGTAGACCGCGAAAACGAACCTCAATATCGGACACCGGACAAGTTGGAGTAAGAAAGCTCAATAGAAATCCGCAATGGAGGAGACGTAGCTGAAAGGACACTGGGCATCGCGCACACAACAGCTAGTGTCAGGAAACGTAGAAGGCCGCGGAAACGCAAAGAGACGGATAGTGGTGATGCCGCGAAGAGGCGAGATGACGGGACATTGGAGGAGACAACACCCAACGGAGCTAAGAATCGCATTTCGTCAATCAAGCAACATCTGTCAGCCCGTACCAATTGTCGTGAGTTGCACAGTGATAATGTTTTCTCAATATTGTCACATGGTAGATGTGCGTTGCATTTGGCTGTGTTAGAAGCTTTGTATATCCGTAAGTTAGATCCTGAAATTTGCGTACAGAAAAAATGTGTTGTCGCTACAATTGTTTGGTGTTACTCCTCGTCGAGGTGTTAACAATGTAACTTATTTTCTCACTATGTTGTTGTCACTATTATTATTTTCCTTCGAGTTTTGTGTCGTGCTGAACTTGATAATTTTCCACCTTGTCACGAGTGTTGTCATCTCATTATCTTTATGCTATATAAGTTTTAGTCTTTCCAACTTGAGCCATTCCCTGTATAATCCTTGGTGAGAAGGAACCGAAAACGTTCGGATACTTTGACAAGTGCCTTATTGTGACTAGATGTGTGTTTGCGTGGATACTTGCGACCCAAAACTTACCATTGTTTTTAAAGTATTATCCGCCTCCGACCTCTTTTAAAAAGCGTTGCACCGCGAAGGCAAACTTGGACACTGGGCCTCCTTTGCTCAGTGTCTTGTAGCAGCGTGTTCACAAACCGAGAGTTAAATTCCAGTTACATCTACTAGTGCTTTAGGCTCTTTATTTTTATTTTTATAGTACATGTACCTTTACCTGTTGGTAGTACAATCGTTGCTAGTTTATAAATGTATGCACGTTCCGTCCTGTTAGTTGTCTTGACGGATACAGGACTCGCAACACTACTGTACTCACTAGTATTAGCAGTAGTAAGTAATAGGGTCTTGAGCTCTGCAGCGTATGTGAAGCTCCCATGCTGCGTGCTTGTACAGCTGCGATACACCTGGGCTACACTGGTGGAAGTACAGACCCCTTGCCAGTCTTTGTCCACGCTGATGCACGTAACAGCGACTGTTGCCCTCTTATATTTTTTATCGCCATGACACTGTTTCAATTACCTCAAACAACGCCTCCCAATCACCCATATTGATCTATTGAATGACGTTCTTGCCCTCCGTGGTCGCCTCAATACAGCTATATTCAGTGTCAGGTTACTCCGTGACTGCCAACACTACTCTGTTGCACCTAAGTATTTGCAGAAACGAGTGCAGAAACTAAAGCTTTATGATTCCATCTCTATCGAGAAAGTACTTTTTCAGGATGATCTTAACAAGGCAATGAGCCAACTTCACAATGCACGATCGAGGATTGTGTCTTCGTATCAGAAAGTACGAAGACTTCTCAATACCTTCGATTTTGTTAGATTTTCTTGGCTAATATCGCAATGTGACTGTATTGTGTCTTCGTGCTTTCTGATACGAAGACACAAACCTCGATCGTGCATTGTGAAGTAAGTGGTCAATAATATACTGCGTTATTCCCATAGCTATGCAGAAGACGTTACTTCAGTATCGTCTGGCGCTAGCCAGGGTCCACACAGCTTTAATTTGGTATTTGTGTGTTTGTTTGTGTGTTTGATTGTTTGTGTCACGCCTGGCGCTATCCGTATCTGACGGCAAAAAAGCATAGGATGCTATAAAATTTTCAATTCTCCTATTTTTTTTTCAGGCATATCCTGGGATTCGAACCCGCACTATCGCCCTACATGCATTCCCCCATACACTTCCCATTCATACCCACTCTTCCAAGTTGCTTCACGTTATTATCTTGCGTTTGAAAGCCCTATTTGAATATTGCGGGCAGCTGTATGTGGCCAGCTGTGTTTGATGGTACGGTACGGTACGGGAGACGGTGTCGTATTACCCTCGATCGTACCTGTCCCGTACCTATCCCCTACCGTACCGTGCCATCAAAGACGGCTGGCCACAATGCATATTCAAATAGGGCTTTCAAATGCAAGACCACAATGTGAAACAACTTGGAATAATTAGTATGTATGCGAAGTGTATCGGGGGATGCATGCAGGGCGCGCGATAGTGCGGGTTCGAATCCCAGGTTATGTCTAAAAAAAAGGATTTTTTTAAAGAATTTATAACATCCCTATGCTTTTTTTTTGTCTAGGTCATCCAGGCAAAAAAAGCATAGCGTAGGGCCCTGAGCTTCCAAGCTCTCTCGTTAATTCAGTTATTCATGTTGGTGGGTAACAGTGCTTTTATGCATAGCAACACCACCAGCCAAACTCTTGCATTCTGTTTCAGTAATCAAATTTGGCCAATGCCCACGATGGAAGGGATGACTTACCCAAAGGCGAATCAGGGTTGTAATTCCATAGTTTTCGAGGGGAGCCGCCGGAAGCATATACAGCTGTAATACCTTTACACAGCAGGATTGGAGTATAGTCACAAATGACAGAATAATATAAAAATGTGAAAAGCAACATATCTTCCGATCTTGAAAATTCAAACCACAAAGCGGCTTTAGTCTTTCTCAACCTGTCAACTAACAAACAGTAAGATAAAGTCGTTGCAGCTTGAAGGAATATTCAACACATCAGAGTATAAAGCAGAACACCTGTGGACAGGATGGACAGAAACGGGCGTTGCCTACAGAGCTGTCACCTGACAGCAGTGTCAATCATCTACATGAGCACAATTATCTCCCTTTTATTCCCGCCGGCAGATGAATTTTGTAACAAGAAATGATGACATATCAGCACAGGAAGTATAATGTAAAAACGGATAGCCCCGAAAGGAATTAGTATCCCTGTCCATTGCATTACATCTGGGGAAAATGTGACAAACCCTGTAAGGCTTCCTTTTCACTACTAACACCAGTAAATTTGCATCCCACCTTGATTTTCAGTAACCCGAACTTCATGATGTTCTCACTAATGTACGTAGCACAAAAGGCAGTATCCCTTAGAGGGTGAGGATGTACAGAGGAATGTGGGTTGAATACTACTTATCCATGCCGGTTCCTTTTTTCTTCTCCTCCCCTTCTCCCTTCCTTGCCGTGGTTGGCTAACACCCTCTCTCTTTGTATTGGCCGGTGTTCTGAGAACTTCTCACTGTGCTATGAGATGCTGTAATAAATAAAATAAATAAAATAAGCCTTATGGCAGTTGTGCAGATCCACGAAATCCGGTAGAATCCCGTAGACCCGGTTGGGTTTTGAATGTGCAGGAACCTATTGTGTTTTCTGCTATTTCCACTAAGAAATGGGGCCTGAAGGCATTTCATATGAAAACCTTTTTCTGACAAAGATCTACCTAGTCATTAGCTCTACCCAATGTGAAGAAGTTGGAAAAGCGGTTGCTTGCCATTAAATTATGAGTCTAAAATAGGTCAAATGCGCATGCCTAGCACACAATGAACACCCTACTAGTCTACGGAATTCTACGGGATTGCGTGGATCTGTACAGCTGACATAAGGTCTATTGGGTGCTAAGACTTGCGGCTACTTGAAAGCACAAAACTGCTCTACAGTCCATTCAGAAAAAGATGGACTTCTAGCTTTTGGCCATAAATGGGTCAAACTTTGAGTTTTTTTAGAATTTTTTTTGCAATCCCCTTTAGAATCCTCTTCCAATTATGTTTCTGAAGTCTATTTGTCCAAAAAGCAAGCCATAACAAGAATAGGATATCGGCCAGGTTTTGCCCCAGAAGCATTGAATTGGAAAAAACCATCAAAATCCAGGCCGTTTGACCCTGCCTGCAACAGTGCATTGTGGGGTTCGAACCCCAGTTCAGGTACCCTTTTTCAAAGTTCAAATTTCGCAGAACTGCACTGCACTACTGTGTACAATGAAATCACGAAAAATCGCCAAATACGGGAGCTCGCCAGAGCCAGAGCCCATCTTTTTCTGAATGGACTGTAAAGTGGCTGAAATAGGGAATGTGCATCAAAGATGGTCATCCGTTAAGGGGGCAGCCTACCCATAAATTTCATATGGCATTCAATTGACCGTAACTTTGGTGTTTCTCAATGGATTTGAGTGAAATTTTGACCACACACTCCTGCCACTATGCTGGCCCTCAGGACATGATTTACAAGTTCTTGCGCCTCACTGACAGGCTTTCCAGGCCGGAAAAACTCAAATTTCCGGCATAGTGCCACGGTGTGCGAGCCACCCAGGAGCCAAACAAATGCATTTACCTCAAGTACAATTTTTTCACATTTTCGTGCTCATTCTGTTCGTGCGCAGGACTCAAACCTAGAACAAGTCCAGAAGCAGCCATGGGTGATGGGGTAGGGCCCCTCAACGAGGCCCTGGAATCTGTCACAACGGAACGAGTGGGCGTTCTCTCACACACTTCCACAGACCCAAGTCAATTTTTGAATTGTTTTAGGTTTAGCACGTGCTACGAGGTCGTACCTTTGATACAACATCCAGTGCTGGGACTTCCACAGCAAGCCATTTCCACAGCGCTGCACACCAAATCCAGGATACCCTCAGAAACTGGCAAAGACTACCACTCACGTTTCACTACTGCCTAGTACTGAATCCTACCTGACTTCTTTACACGACTCAAACTTGCCAAAGTCACTAAATCAACGTCAACTACAATAATCAAGCCACATATCTGCAACGTCACGAGGGTGCTGGCAAAAGTCCTGCTGCACGGCGGCGGGCTTCGCCCCGCCGCCGTGCAGCCCAATACGTGGCTCAAAAACCTGATTTTTTGGATTTGGAGCAAAATTCTGCACACTTTCACGTGTTTCCATGATACGACAAGTTGCGCACGGTCTGCTCACATTCAAATACAGTGCTGCCAACAAATGACAGCGTGCAACAAAAAATCTTTCCTTGCAAGGGCACATTTTGGGCCATAACTCTTGAACGGCCGGTCAGATCGGGACACACTTTTCAGAGAATTTGCAGCTATTCATGCTCTTTCAACTGACGTAGCAATCAATATGAATTTACAAATTCCCCCCCCCCCCCTTACTTTGCAGGTAGAACCAAGAGTACATAACCCCCCAGAGTGAGCAATGCCGTTCCAGCTCTGCATAGGGTCTTCATCGAGCGGAATCGGATCTTCTGATGTCATGCGTACACTCCATACCAGCGCAAGGCCGGTCTCAAGGCAGGACACCGTTGTTGTTGATCCAAGAGTACCCGCGACTCCCCGGGTTCCCCTCAGATGTGTACAGTATTATGACGCAAAGATCCTAATATGCTCGGCCAAGACCCTATGCAGGGCTGGATCAGGCGTTGCACACTCTGGGGGGTTATGTACTCTTGGTAGAACCCATTCTAGTACTTTTATCAGCATAATCTTATAAAGTTGACGACCTTTTATGCAGAGCTGGTATCAAGATGTGTACAGTAGGGGTGAAACGAGTATCTATTTTGACCAACCGATCACTCATTCATAATATTCGATCGAGTATCCGATTATTTCGAGTATTTTATCGAAATTCAAAAGCGCTAGATTTGTGAGTTCTCGACCAATTCGAAAGAAATTATCTGTGAACATAGAACAAAAGTCGCCAACGTCTTGTACAGAGTGTAAAGTAACGACTTTCACCAGTACTTTCATTATCTCAAAACAAAATAACGTTACTTGCCGTGGTGATCGCATCGTCCAAGTCATATAATACTGACTCAAAGGCACGAATAATGCGTGCATACCAGTCGATGAGCAGTACAACAGGAGTTTTTGAAAAATAGAATGCCAGTACCAAAAAAAAAAAAAAAAAAAAAAAACGATCTAGTGCAAAATTTCGAATACTCGCTCGTTTGAGATTTTCGAACGAATACTCGAATATTCGAACTAATCGTTTCACCCCTAGTGTACTGTTGTAATGGATCTGCTCCGCGAAACCAAATGAAGGGATTATGGTTACTTGTTTCTGATATTCCTTCTGACAGTTGTTTCGCTTACCAAAGCTTGTCAGAGAAAGCGATACTGAATAAAATTGGATATGGATTTCGTCTATTCTACATTTGAATAAAATATTCTTGCATTAGGGGTCGTCGCAAAAGTTTTCTGTCGTCCTTGAAACGAACATCGTTCATTTCGTACTCGGACCCCCTCCCCTCCCTCTGAAACGAACACAGCTTGCTATGCTGGACGACGAAAATCGCATGCATGTGCATGTCATATGTACAGTGTCGGTCGACTTGCGATTTTGGCTCGCACCCCCTGCCCCCCAAATGAATCATGTTCGTTTCAGGGACGACAAAAAACTTTTGCGACGACCCCTTATTGAATTGAAACTCGGGTATTGAGCCAATCATAAAAGTAGAAAGGAAAAGGACATAATGGAAAGGAGTAAAGAGTAACCCTAACTCTCTAGTTACAGTGGTGGAGAGTTACTCTTTTAACTCGTTTCCATACGTCCTTTTCCTTTCTACTATTATTGAATTGCCTAATGGTTTCGTCCTCGGTTCTACAGTTTCTACCGGTACTTGATTTACAGGCAGCTGTGACGTTGCATCTATTTGACGTGTACCGGTTTAGCCCCGAGTTCTCCTGAACCACCTTGAAGACCTTTTTTTGTTTCCCACATCGTTAAGTTAAAACTCCAAGTTACAATGGAATTACAAGACTTCCTTTCCAGCATTCACCAGCTGTATTAGGGTGGAACACAGCGCCCCAGCCATTATTCAAGACTGGCCACAATTACAAAAAAATCTAACGACAGTTAGTCAACGAGTTTCATCCCTTGTAAAAAAAATTAAATCAATGTTAGTCTAGGCACAATCTTGTCTGCATACTCGTACTCACAGAGTGAAAGAAGTAGCACGACCTCCATGTTTCTAGCTTGCACACGCACACGAGCCCTTGTTCGAAAGTCTGCAGATACCATCTCGGGGTGAACGTTTCTAGCTCCCTCTTGGACGTTACTCAAATGAAAAGAGGAGGACTGAAGCGCGAAATTGACTATTTACAACAGAAGTCTTCCATCCCTAGTGTTCTACCAAGAGTAGTCATCGGCGGATAATGCCGGCATAATTTTGAGCATAATCACGGCTTTCTGAAAAATAGCATTGCCAAGCATAATTTAGTTGATCCTTCAGCATAACTGCTGCATAAAACCGCTAGGGCCTCAAAGGTCAAAAGTTCACCGTCCAGAGTCCGTTGTTTGTTACAAGGGCAAGGGAATCCTCCTATAAATAGATCTACACCCGGGACTCGGCAGGGAGTCGTACCATACCACGGTATATATCTGGCACGGCTCCGTGAAAGGGCCTGATCTACACTGTAAATGTAACAGATGTCTAATGTTTAGGGCGTCAAAGGTCAAAAGTTCACCTTCCAGAGTTCTATTATTTCTATACATAATTATGCTTGTATTGATGTTGCAGTGGCTACATGTATTTGTATTTTTCTATATTTAAAGGGGAAGTTCACCCTAAAATCAAAATTTCACAGTTTGTAGATTTCGAGGCGCTGAGTTCGGTGGTGAAGGTCCCATCGCCGTGCGATACGCCGTTCTGGAGATATTTGAATTTGAAATTTATCATGACGTCATGCAAAATGACGTCATGCGGCCGGCGCACACCCCCTCCACACCCTGTGACGTCAAAGAGATACAGGTTCCCGGTCTGCTTGCTTTTCAGTGAGCGAGAAAGAGTGGCGTTTGTGGAGTTTCTTTCTTGCGACCTGAACAGTTTCAACCACGATGACGGTTTGCTGTGCTGTCGGCTGCTCTAACCAGTCTGGCAAGCCCCCTGGGACCACGGTGCATCGTATTCCGCGGGATAAAGCTCTCCGAGCGGAATGGGTTGCAGCGATTCACCGCGAGAATTTGCCACCTAAGTTTGAGGAGAGCTGTGCAATTTGTTCGGCACATTTTGAGGAGATGCCTTCCAGAGGAACTTGCACGGAGAGATGGGCAAAACGTGCCGCCGAAAGCTGAAAGCAGACGCTGTGCCATCGATTTTCCCGGACAGGCGTCCCCCAGCGAAGCGAAGGATGTCGCAGTATCAGGAGAGGCAGGAGAGAGAAGAGGTGAGTGAATGGTTCTGGTGATTTCGTGCTTTGAGAGCGTGTTGAAATTTTGTCTGTACATCGCGAGTTGTAGAGGGCAGTTTCACCCACTGTGTTGAGTACATCGTATACTTGTAGAGAAAATGATTTACAGATACCGATACAAAGCTGTTTGCAGTGTGTTGATTGCAAGGTACTAGTATTGAATGAAGACAGAAGATCGTGCAATATATTTTTGTTTTATTTCAATTCAAGTTTTGCATGTCGTGAAAAGGCATACAGTGGTCACTAGCACTGTCCTCTGCGTGGTAAGTTTCAATTCGAAGAAAGTCTTCATTGTGTTGCATTGTCACTGTTATCTGCGTGTATTTTGCGAGTTTGATCCTAGCTCAAGCCCATGCTGAGCCGTATGCCGCAGCTTTTCGGTCTCCAGTTGCATGCGCATTGAGTCCAGACGATGGCATGATATCTGCTGATGCGTGCACACAGACCCCCGTCAGCACACGGGAAATTTAGAGGTGATGTTATGGTACCCACTGTGTAGATCAAATCCACACGTACATATGCTTGCAACACTGGCAGTACATTTTCATGACTATTCTTTTGCTATAAACACACACACACGCGCGCGCGTGCGCGCGCGCGTGCGCACACACACACACACACACACACACACACCTTTGATCTTTGACGCCAAACGCCGGAGGCAATGATGGCAATGCTACGGCAGAAGCCATAGCAACTTGTGCTGGAATTGCACCATTCAACAGCTTGCAAGGCTGAAGAATTGACCGTCACAATTCAGCCTGGTCTACACCATACAGCTACACACAGACACACACGCGCAAGCACCTGGCTGACTACAAATAGTGACAGCTTATGATTGCTTTGCCGTTTGTCCATTAATGCATTATGCAGGTGTTCCACCGGACTCCTCGGCCAAGTTTTCCGAACATCAGCCATATGTATTGTCGGTGTGCTGCGTAACGGTGCGAGTTGCTGTGGGGAACAGGGGAGTAGATCTTCCTGCTGTTAGTCTCACATGTCAACGTACATTTCAGTGCAACAGCAGCACACTACAACAACAAATTTTTGAAGAAGTATACAAGCCAATATCCTGGTTATATTTTTGCACCATGGAACAGTATTTTATTTTGATGAGAAAATACAGTTCTCCGATGCAAAATCGACGACAGTATTACACTATTAGCACGTACCGGTTTCCAAACTCAGATGGCTTCGATCCGGCCTGCTGATGGATCTTGCCCAAATAGCCACGCAGTACAATGTACAGTGCGTGCTGGTTGCTCCAGCCTTCCCCGAACTACGAGGTGCAAGTAATGCAGCTAGACTCAGTAACCAATCCGCGGCTGCCGATTCCGGAACATCTTTGCAGCAAATGCAGTCGTTCCGCAATAATTGAACGACGCATTTGCCACATTCACACCAGGACGTATTGCCAACGCGATCGGCAGGTGGCCAGCAGTCCTCTAAGCAAGCAGCAGGGTCAGTGTCGGCAGCAGCCCGCTGCAGTTTCGTCAGCATTTACACCAACTTGCTCCGCACTCGCCATCTGCATGATCTCATCCTCGGTATACTCCGGTTCCTTCGCTGGCGTCCAACTCGCTCTCCTCGGAGTCACTGTCATCTCCTGACAAGGAGGTAGACCTACCCTGAATCGTCTCCGCTCTGAGCCTCATACTGCTTGACTTTCCGCCTTGGACATTCACGACTTCACTTTCTTCTCCGTCCAACTCCAAGTAAAAGTTCCGAGCTCCAGGAGCTCCTCTATCTCTTTGACGTCACAGATTCGTGACGCCATGGCGGCGCCAAAAACCGGGGATCAAAGTGATATTTCAGTTGCGTATATCTCCGGTTATAGTCACCGGATGAAGACGAGACATACACCAATCGACTCAGCTGATTTTTCCCAATAACATATCTGATTTTGATTTTAGGGTGAACTTCCCCTTTAACTTTAAGGATTTCCCAAAGGCTTTGAGCCTGTCGAGGGATCTCCTGCAAGAAGAATGAAATGACATTTTTATGTAGAGGGAGCAGTTAATTGAGGATAGGCTAAGGAAATAGATCGAAGCATACAAAATCTGGTGATTAAGGAGTTGGGATACCGTCAGTGTAATGAATATATCGGCGAAAATGCTGATAGAGAGAATGCTTGAATCCCAGGAGGCTGGTTATAGAGGTAAGAGAAGGCGGTAGGCAATTCCATAGCATTGCAGCTTTGTTGGAAAAGAGGGAAGAAAAACGCCTACCGTGATAATTGATGTGAAGTGTGTTTGGTCTTCTTGGACTTGAAGACAATGAAAGGTGAAAATGTCGGATGTGTTCTGGAGATATATGTATAAATTTAAATAGAGTAACAAGAGCTGATCTTGTCTGCGAAAGTGCAAGGACTCTAAGTCACAAAGGGCGTTTAACTGGGATTTCGTTTCGCATCTATCTACATTGACTTTTTTACGTAGCAAATACTTCCTAGCTACTCTGGCTTGTAAAATATTTAAACGCGCCAGCTCAGCTTTGGTGATGGCATAGGACCAGGCCGAGGTGGCATGTTCCAGGGCGTGTCGGACAAAACCTTTATATAGAAGTAGCTGTATCCTGGTTTCTTATCCATAGCTGAGACTAGATCTTCCATGCAGTTTTCTCCGGAAGTCCACATTTGATCCCGAGTACACATTCTATGCATTTTAATGGCATTATAAACATGAAAGATCACAGTGTCAAAAAGCATAATTTGAGCATAATTTAGTGATTTTCAGAGCATATTGCCAGCATACTGAAAAGCATAATCCGTGGGATTTTTGAGCATTATCCGCCGACGTCTAACCAAGAGTACATAACGGGGGGTTATGTACTCTTGGTTACTAGTACCGTAAAGTACAGTGCGTATCGGTTATAGTGTGGTCGTGTAAAAAAAAAAGAATATACTGCCGACAAGAATGAACTTTAAAAAATAAAAAAACAAGAATGAACTCTCATGTTTTCATAATCATAACATGGATTTCATGTGCACATTTATTCTTGCAAGCAATTTTATCGTACAGTAGAATATATCGGTCCTAAGAATGGACTTTGTGTAGCGAAACATGCCAGATCAGTACAAAGTATATCGCCTGTAGTAATAACATCCGTCCAAAGCAGTTCTGATCTGACTCGCGTTGGGTCGTAGTGCTGCAGGTTCAACTATTGTGGTCATGTAACTCATGTTGCATAGCCACATGGTAAGCCTATGTGACTGTGACCAGCCGCATGCACAGTAGCACTGTTCCGGCCCGTCCGTCGATTCTGCCCATCCTGGGCAGGTGCCCATCTTAGGATGGGTTGAGGGGGTGCCCATCCTAGGATGGGATAGGTTCGATTGATGGAGATCCGGTTTTTTCGTTTTCCCGCCGAAAACGTGCTTTTATAAAATTATAAACGTGGTTTATATCTTTCTTTTTTGGGAGGGTGGATCAGAAGTACATGTATACAGTAGACATTACTAGTCCGGACGAGTCAGAGCGAGGGCGATTCACGCCTTGGTCTGGACGTGGAACGTAAACATTTTTCCGAAAGCAAGCTTCTTCTCCAAAATTCGAAATTTCCTTCCAAAAATGCCGTCGTCCTTGACCTCGAAGCTGAATGTTGTTAGGATAGAAAATTAGCGAAGATGTAGCCGACCCATTCTGGCGAGCCGTGTGCCCTCTGGATATGCAGTTGTTCGCCATGGTCAACAATCTTCTTCTCCTTCGTTCGTACTTTCACTTTCCTGACCACGAATACAAGCGGTACCCATGCTCAGGTTAGTGTATATTTGTCTGTCTATGCACATACATGTAATACAATGTACTGTTCGTGCTGCAGGCACTGGCCGATCATGGAAATAGAGGAAGCAGCCAGCTTTCTTTGAATTCTCGTGCTTTCAACAAAAAATATGTACACGCTTTCCTTGGCTCCTCTTTCCCACCGCCACCATGCATGCACAATCGAGCTTGCTTGAATGCCCTGCAGTGCAGAATGCTCCCACCACCGCAACCGCCGCCACCACCACCAGCAGCAGCACCACCACCACCACTATGACCACCACCACCACCATGACCACCACCACCATCACCGTGACCACCACTATAGAAGCATTGTCGTGCACGGCACGTCTGCAAGAGAAATTAATAGTATGCCAGTGCTGTAATGCCCTGCAGTGCAGTGTGCTCCCGCCGCCACCACTATGGAAGCATTGTCACGCACTGTACACAGGGGCGTAGCACCCGCTACGACTGGTACGACCATGGCCGTACCACTTTTCGAAAAGTGTGGTCCGTCCGAAACGTGCAA